GCCAAAAATCGTAGAGGGGTCAAAATGACCCCTCCGGTCCTTCTAGGTATACGAAAATCCCGGTCCTTCTAGTGTTAAAAAGGCCCGGCAGCGAAAAATTTCGACGGAGAGATTGAAAGAGGATGCTGTCGTGCAAATCTCGACCATTTCCAGCGATTTTCAAATTTTTCAGTTTTGGCCAAATTTACAAAGGCTATAGCCTTTGTGTTTTTAGCGAAAAGTGATGGGTCCGGATTTCGACGGAAAAGTAGTCAAATCGACAGAGGTGACCCAGGGGACCACAAAACTACCTTTGGTTCCGTTAGAAACCACCCCCTTTCCAGAGAAACTTGATTTTTAAGGGTGGTCTTTTGAATCTGGCGCTCAGCGTACGATGGGCTGCCTACCTCGCAGGCGAACCGGGCCAAAAACAGGCGTATCTCACTTAAAATGGCCCGGCGATGTGAAACTTCGACGCAGAGATTGAAAAAGGATTCAGTCTGACCGCAATCCCAACTATTTCCAGCAATTTTAATTTTTGTCATTTTTGGCCAAATTTACAAAGGCCTTTATTCTTCTAGTTGAAATTGATGGGTCCGGATTTAGACGGAAAAGTAGTCGAATCGACAGGGATGACCCAGGGGACCACAAAACTACTTTTGTTTCCGTCAGAAACCACCCCTGTCCACAGAAACTTGTGTGTTAAGGGTGGTCTAATCTGGCGGGCAGCGTAAGATGGGCTGCCTACCTCGCAGGCGAACGAACCGGTCCAAGAAAAACAGGTGTAACTCACTTGAAATGGACCGGCGCGGCGGCGTGAAACTTCGACGCAGAGATTGAAAGGACCAATCCCAACTGTTTCCAGCGATTTTCAAATTTTTCATTTTTGGCAAAATTTACAAAGGCATGGGTCCGGTTTTCGACGGAGGAGTACTCGAATAGATAGGGGTGAACCAGGGACCACAAACTACCTTTGCTTCTGTCAGAAACCACTCCTGTTCACAGAAACTTGAGTTTTAAGAGCTGGTCTTTTTAACTATGGGCGGGTAGGCTACCTAAGGCGCACTGGCTAAGAACTCTGCTGTAGTGGGTTGGCACCATGATATTTAAACAGGGTAACTGAAAAGGGAGTTTGCCCGACCAATCCAAACCAATTCCAGCAACTTTCCAAATTGTCAAGATTTTTAAAAGACATTTTCAATTATAACGAATCAGCCTGGATTTTGACAGAGGAGGATTGAAATCGACAACAAAGAACCAAGGCACCACAAAAAACATCAAAAAACACCCTTTGATGCACACGAAAGGAAGCTCCTCATAGAGTCTGTACAGAGACAAATTGGACCAGAGTTTGTTACTGTCATGTCAACTCACCTATTCTTTTGGGTAAAATGACTCTATAGACTTCTCTTGCTCATGTTAAGAACATTTCTGGGCCGAGTTCCTGCAATCATATTCAACGGTACTTTTAGTGCTCATCAACTATTAATTACATTTAAATTACTCATACAATACACGTTTAAATGCCTCTCCCCCAATACATCTCTAAATGTCCATGGTCTTTCAAATTAATAATTTGGCACTGGACTCAAGCATTAGGTGCGAAGGGGCATCTGCAAATTAGCTGCAATGCACAATGATTGATTGTTTGGGGGATTACGCAAATAGTACCACTCGGTTTGCACCCCAACCAGAAAGTAATAAAGTTTTGTGTTCCACGAGAATAATATCGAGTAAAATATCTGATGTACGATAAAACACTGACAGTGACCTGCAACAGTATTTAACATACTGTATGGAATGGAGAAGTGTACCCATTCAACACCTTTTCAACAAAGCTTACAGTGAGCCAAGTTTACATCAAGGACATCATTTACTCAGCCTCAAAAAAATAGCCGACAACTTGTGCACTGGAGAACACTAACCTCTTACATTACAACAATAACCGGAATGGAACAATTCAATATTCCGGACCGGAAACAATCAAGCACTATACCTTGCGATTAATATCGAGAAGCGGCTGTACACCCTAAAATGCTGATTAAAATCCTATGGCCAATTAAATGAGTAGGTATTATCGGTATTGAGCAGAAGACGCCGATCGTGACACCGATGTCCACTGTTTGTTTACGTTTCCATAAAGGCCCGGCAAATGCGGGGTGGGGAGGAGGAGAGGGGTAGGGGACGCGGCTCGGTAAAGAGGGAGAGCAATAATTACGGCAGAAGTTCTGATCAGACAATGACACTCACCGACATATCGTGGTCGCGGGATGTGATTCTTTAGGGCTCCCGACCCATGCAACATTGTGGCCGCAGCTCTATGGGGAACCTCAGGGAGTTGTGGCCGAGGACGCCTGGGGTAGGCAATCCCGCCTCGCTTGTCCGGGATGTGATCCTTTGGGGATGCCTCGCACCCCGTGCATCGTTGTGTGGCTGCAGGGGGCAACGCCAGGAAAGTGCTGGAGCTGTGACAATAATGAAATGATCAGGATAAAAAATAAACTATTATGGGCGATTTGCTGTTAATAATAATTATATTTGGCAACTTTTAAGAAATATACACCAGCCCGGGTACACGGCGTTTGGAGCCGAATCGAGTCGGCACCGTTACCTCTAAACAAAGTACCTCTAAAACGTCCATTACCTCTAAAATCAATTACCTCTAAAAAAGGTGGTGTCGAGTACCTCTAAAATTTTAACCTCTAAACAATTTACCTCTAAAATTGTATTTATTGTGTCAGGACACCGAGCGAAACGGAAAAACGCAAACAGAGCATATGACAATGTACCAGAGGTGGCTCTTGCAGTCATACATTACCGAACGTTTGGTTTGCCTACCCCTGGGGGCCGTAGCGCCCTACGTGCGGTGCAGGTAGGCAACCCGCGCGCACGCCTGCGTGCGGTACAGCATAACCACGATGACTGGCGGGTTTGCCTACCCCAGTGGGCCGTAGCGCCCTACGGGCAGCGCGGATAGGCAACCCGCATGCACGCCCGCGTGCGGTACAGCAGAACCACGATGACTGGCGGGTTTGCCTACCCCAGGGGGCCGTAGCGCCTTACCTGCGGTGCAGGTAGGCAACCCGCACGCACGCCTGCATGCGGTACAGTCAGGATTCGTCCGAAGTAACGAAAGGCTCTCGGGGGCCTAGTGGAGACAATCGAGCGCGAGCATTCAGGGGAACCTCCCTTCTCTGCGACTGACTGCGGCTCCTCTCTCACTGTGCTCGAAGGCCCAGCTCGCTCCCACAGCTGAGACTCTGTTCGAGCAACATGCACTCGACGCGAATGCAAGAGGTGCGCGGTCCGTGGCTTTCGGTGAACCTACTGGGTCGCTACGTGAGTTTAGAACCCCTGCCCCAGCAGTAGCTTCCATGCGTTCGTTCAAAGCCCATTAGGAAGATATCCACTTAGCGCGACTTGCGACTATCCCAGTGCTGCAAGTCTAATACATCGAGGATTTTTAGAGGTAAAGTAC